CCCTGAATTAGGGCAGAGCCTGGCACACACACTCTATATCAATGAATATCCGTTAAATAAAAGAACAAATAGATGTACTCACTCACACCATTTAGAAAGTAAAGAATAATACAGTGAAGAAAATAAAATCAGCCTTGGAATCCCAGTGCACAGGTATAGACATATACAAATAAGTATGTGTGCTTAGTAGTAAAAATAATTGGTAATGTTCTGTATCTTAATAGAGATTCTGGTTTCATGAGAGTATGCATTTGTCAAAACTCAGAGAAGGTACACTTAACGAATGTACATTTCACTGTGTGTAGTATTTTCCTCAATAGAAAAAAACCAACCACATAGTGAACACTAGTTAATGATATGCATGCTGGAATGTCAAGGGGAAAGTGTGCTGATGCCTGAAATTTACTTTAAAATGCATTAAAAAATCACATGCATTATTGGATGAAAAGGGGGAGCGACAGATGATAAAGCAAACATAATAAAATGGAAATGGTACAGCCAGTGGTAGTCACGAGGAAGATTTCACTGCAAAATCCTTTCAACTGTATGTTGAACATTTTTATAAAATGTTGGGAAAAAGTAATTTAGACCATATTGATTACAATCAGTATATCCAACATGGTTTGATGAATATTTTATGTTATTTTCCCATGTCATAATGTCTTTATGTATTTATTTTTGAGACCAAGTCTCACCCTAGTGCAGTGGTATGATCTCAGCTCACTGCAACCTCACCCTCCTAGGTTCAAGCAATTCTCCTGCCTCAGCCTCCCAAGTAGCTGGGATCATAGGCATGTGCCACCATGCCCGGCTAATTTTGTATTTTTAGTAGAGACAGGGTTTCACCACGTTGCCCAGGATGATCTCGAACTCCTGACCTCAGATGATCCACCTGCCTCAGCCTCCTAAAGTGCTGGGATTACAGGCATGAGCCACTGCGTCCAGCCTCATGATTGACTTTGAAAGCTTAGTTTCACACAGATGTCTAGTAAGCCACTGAATGGATGTATCACAACTTACTTAACCAGTCTCCTATCTTTGGACCTAGAGGCCACCTTCAATTTTTCATTTTTATCAACAGAGTAATGAAAATCCTTGTATATAAATCTGTGTGCATAAGTACGTTTATTTACTCAGTTTATATGCCCAGAAATGCAAAGGTCAAATGTCATAACATTTTAGAATCCTGATACGCACACCTGCCTTGCTTCATAAAGTGTGGCTATTGAATGGGCATATTCTTATTTTCTGATGAGTAAGTTTCTTGAGAGAGATCAACTGCTTTGCTCTGCCTCCCTCTTTGGGCTGAGCGTACTGCCATGTACACTGTAGGCTCACAGTAAAACAACTTCAGTAACGTCCAGAGAACACATGACCAGAGCGAGTCCTGCCGCACTGCTGAGAATGGGGAGAGGTACTCTTCTTCACAAGAAATTTGAGGCTGCCTTTTTGTGATGGAGAGGAGAGGAGACGAGAGGGCTGCAGATGGCAGGCAATCTGGCAGCCAAAACCCAGGGTCTTTCAGATGCCCACTGGGAACCCAGGGCCAATTGTTCCCAGGGCTAAAGGTGGTCTCTGGGCCTCAGTGAATGGATTTTGGTTGAACCAAAACAAGGGAACACTCTTGTGACCCCTAAACAAAATGAATTCAAGCTGCATGAATGCTGGGGGAGAGGTGCTTGGGATGAATACTAAGGGAAGCATGGTACCCGAGGCCTGCACAGGGTGCAGCAGGGGGCTTCACTTTCTTTACTCCATGCCCCTCTGGATGCTCTGGTTTTTAAATAATAATTTATAATTGTGTAACTTTTTTTTGAGACAAGGTCTCATTTTGTCACCCAGGCTGGAGTGTAGTGGTGCAAGCATAACTCAGTGTAACCTCCACATCCTGGGTTCAGGTGATCCTCCCACCTCAACCTCCTGAGTAGCTGGGACCACAGGCACATGCCACCATGCTGGGCTAACTTTTGTACTTTTTGTAGAGACGGGTTTTTGCCATGTTGCCCAGGCTGGTCTTGAACTCCTGGACTCAAGGGACCTGCCCGACTCAGCCGCCCAAAGTGTTAGGATTATAGGTATGAGCCACAGTGCCCAGCCTTAATTGTATAATTAATTTTAAAAAGTCTTCCAGAGGTCAAAGGTCCCAGGTTGGTGGGCTCTTGCAGACCACTCACTTGAAGTCAGTGCGTGAGTCTTAGCCTGAACTCCAGTACACCAGCATTTCCATTTCAGAGCTCAGCAGAGACGGACTCCTCACTTTACACACTGGTCTTAGTCCAAAAGTTCATTAGTAAGTAGTGGTTTGGAGCTTGGAACATATTTCCCTATACAATGAAGACAGTTTCTCTTCTGGCCAACAAGAGCTTTTCTGACCCTTCATAAAACCAAAATAAATCCCATCTTCTTAAAGGACAGAGAAACCCTATTAATAACTGAAATACTGAAGGGACTTTCACAAGACTGGTGACAGAGGCAGAAATTTTTCTGAAAAAGAAACTTTCTTGGGAAGCTTAACTAGTGGCACCTTTCTTTTTCTTTTTTTTTGTTTTTAGAGGAAGAATACCAAGGGGAAAAAAACCCTCAGAACTTTCTGAGGAAATCAGCTAAGTGATAAAAAGTGAGGGGAAGAGGTCTTCAGAAAATTTAAGAACAAGCTTGCTCCGAGGTGAAATGATCCCATTTACCCAGGGAAGCAGCAGCTGGCATGAGCTGCAACCCTAGAGAAAATTAAAAGAACGCTGAGAGCCAAGAGAGGCAGTGCCCAAACCTGGGAGGCTGGGGGAGAAGGGGCACGGGTTGGTGCTAGGTTATGGGGGACCAGAGACAAAACCCACGGGAACCGCAAACAATCGCAGCGAAGGGAATATGCCTACTCCACAGAACATGGAGGTTTCTATCATGTTGAAGAGAAAATGTCTATTTAGCTGAAAGTCCTCTTGTATCTGGACACTTAAAAATGGAAGTCTCTGAATCACACAAGAGTTTCAGGGTCATCCAAACAACCAAAATGACCCAAAGATCAGAAAACCACCTAAGAAATGAGATGAATGTGTTAAAAGCCCAGGAGAAAATAGGATGCCAACATTTAAAATGATAGGGAAACAAGCTCCCAGCTGAGGGTGATGTTTCCAGAGAAGTGGGGAAGGAGAAGTAAACTGCCAGGGACAGATGGCAAACACTATCAGGTGGCATAAGGGTCCCCAGAAGAAAGCGTTGGAACTGGGAGACATCAGGGCATGTGGTGCCCTCCACACATCTGCCTACTCCATAAGCACCTGGCCCTGAACAGAGTCTCAAAGGACATCTCAGGATCTGAAATCATTTTGAAAGCAGTCTGTGTTAGGCTGTTCTTGCACTGCTATAAATACCTACCCAAGGCTGGGTAATTTATAAGAAAATAGGTTCAGGCTGAGTGTGGTGGTTCACGCCTGTAATCCCAGCACTTTTGGGAGGCCAAGACAGATCACCTGAGGTCAAGAGTTCGAGACCAGCCTGGCCAAAATGGTGAAACCCCATCTCTACTGAAAATAAAAGAATTAGCTGGGTGTGGTGGCATGCGCCTATAATCCCACTCACTCGGGAGGCTGAGGCAGGAGAATTGCTTGAACCCAGGAGGTGTAAGCATGGGCCTCTGGGGAGGCCTCAGGGAGCTTTTGCTCATGGCAGAAGGTGAAGCAGGAGCCAAAGTGAGAGTGTAGGGGGAGGTACCACACACTTTTAAAAGATCAGATCTCCTGTGAGCTCAGAGTGAGAGCTCACTTATCACCAAGGGGATGGCTCAAGTCATTCATGAGGGATCCACCCCCATGATTCAGATACCTCCCACCCCCACCTCCAACACTGAGGATTACATTTTAACATGAGATCTGAGTGGGAACAAATATCCCAACTATATCATAGTCATCAGACCACTGGCCTGATTCCTTCCTACTTCTTTGAGTCTACAGTGCCATAAGATGCTCCATTATTTTATCTATTAGTGAGAAACAAGAAACCAAACTACCAATGACACAACATGGAATTTCATCCCCACTTTGGAGATGTTAAAATGTGAATAAAATAGGCATCTTAGAATCAGTGAAAAATGAAGGATTGGAGGCATACACTACCTGGCTGTTTTCAGAAGGTGTGCACGGCACCATGATGTTACCTCCCGTCCACGGCACCAACGAAAGGGTGCCAGTGAAAAGATTCACTTGGCAAAGCTGCATCATTGCCAGAATCCACATATGATCAGTGAAGGAAGAGCTGAGGAGGCGGATGCAAGAATAGGGAGCAGCAAAAGCCAGCAGGGATGGGAGGGCTCCCTGGGGATCCACTTTACTGTCTCCATGGAGGGTGGACTCAGCCATGAAGCACGTCCCTGGCCACCCTTCTCCACTCACATGGCGAGCCCGATGCCAACAGGGGAGGCCTCCATGCAACAAGTGGCACTCTGGACCCCTGGGGACGATTGCCAAATGCCTGCCTCTCCCATGAATGAACACCACACATGTGCGCTCGCTGACGATGGCGCAGGTCCTAAAAGCAGGAATCGGGCTGCACAGGAAATGTTTTGCAAAGAATGAACCAAGTCTTCTCCCTCGGAAAATAGCTTCCCTCCAGCCTCCTTCAAGAGAGTTGGAAAGGAATGCTTCCCATTTGCAAATCAATAACTTACATTGGCTGTGTAGACAATAAAGCGCAATATGTGATCCTAGGGACCCATAATGGCTCAGTGTTCTAACACAACCCTGCCCTCCAAGAAGCGGACAAGAAAACGGCACAGGCCTCCCAGCTGTGTCTGGCTAGGGCCACACAGAGGGCTGGTGGTCTGCCTGCCGTTCTTTCTTTTTTTGGTGGAAAATCAGAAGGCTTCAGCAGAGCAGGCTGCCAGGAACTGAAGACACTCGACATCTTACCATTTCCTACTTTTCACAGCTATTTGCATGAGGGTTGTTAGGAAAACACCTATACCAAAAGGGAGACGGTTTAATGGAAGAAGCATTTCAATCACTCACTTTCAGCCAGAATTTCACACACTCGGAGGCACTTGACATTATCCTTGGAAATCAGGAGAGAAACAGCTGCCGCGTAGGCCACACCCCCAGGGATTTCAGCCTTTTGATACACGACGAGTCGCCTGTGCAGAGATTGGTTAGCTTCTGTGAAATTCCAGCCAGGAGGAGCAGGGGCCGAAAGACGATAATAAAACTGATCTCCGTCCTACCTGGTTCAGCCGGGTGTCCAACCCGCGGGGACAATAAAAACGGCCTGTGGCTGGCAAACATCATCTTCCCCGATTGTTCCACTCCCTTCTAATTACTCTCCGCGTCTGGCACCCGAGGGCCCAGAGCGACGTGGAGATGACTCGAACTCCCGGATCCCTGGGCAGCCCGCCAGCCAGGTCTCTGGGAATCTAGGAATGCACCATTATCAATCCACTTGCCTCATCTGAAGAGTTGGCTGGAGCACACCTGTACTTCCTTTTCAATCACGAGGAAGACTCTAGGAACCTCAGTCACTCCCCACAGAAAAGCAAAGGAATCCATTCCTTCACGAAGCCTCGTCTCTGCTTAAACCTGGCACTCCTCGGGTTAGGCAGAAATGACTGAAGAACTCTTGGGACTGCCCACTCAACTTTAGGGAAGCCGGCCCCCGCGGGAAGCCACCCACGCAAGGCAACCAATCCAACTAGCCAGCAGCATCTGACACACTAAGCTGTGGGTGTTCTAGATACAAATACAGAGGTTTTTCCTTTTACAAAGGCCAAATGGCATGCTGTTATGGGCAATGGCTCAGCTGAGAGACATTTTTAGGAAGCTGTTGCTGTTGCATTAAAAAAAAAAAAAAAAAAAAAAGATTGTGGATTTTGTGCACTTAAAATGAAAATCAAAACTTGAATGTGGAAGATGATTGCCTGATGGTTTGGCTTTTCTCCCTGGCCTAAACATTCCAGATCCAACCCCCAGCTTTCCACGCCTCAGCCCCAGGCACTCTTTACTGCCCTCACTCCCAGTTTGCTGGGCACAGGGGTGTAAATGCTGGCAGCTTCCCCATTTGGACTGAGTTCAAGATGGTACCTGATTAGCACACAGGAGCCTGTTTGGCCATTCAGCCTATACACTGAATGGTCCATCTGGGGTGTCTGAATGGCAGTTAGAGCTCAAGGTGAGACAAGATGAGTCTTCTCCCCTTTCTCCCTGCATCTCTGCTCAGGATACCCAGAGGAGAGGGAAGAATTTTAAACACCCCACCATGGACGACAGCCTTAGGTCCAGCCTCATATGCAGGGCAGGAAGGACTAATCAGTTTATACTTTGTTGCACTCAGAGAGCCCATGAACACTCATGGGAAAATACACGTACTGAGCATCTACTATGTGCCAGGCAACGGAAAGAGGAATATAAATGAGGCATAGGATCTGTGCTAAAGGAACCCAGAGCCCACCAGAAAGGAGGACAGGTGAAATAAAATATAATACGATATTATTATATGCTGTAACAGAAACACCTGAAACGTGCTATGTAAACAGATGAAGACTTGGCTAATTCTGCAAGGGTCTGAGGGTTGGGAGGTGTCAGGGAAACCTCATTTGAATTGGGCCCTAATGGATGAGTAGGAAGTTGCCAGGTGGACCCAGGCAGCAGTCAGGAACAGAGTGATAGGACAGGGTGAGTAGTCTGTGGAGAACACAGGGACTCTGCTGAGGGGGCAGTGGCTGGGGCTGGGAGGGCTCACAAGGGCCACGGTGAGGGGCTATATGCCAACCTCACTCAGCAGACCCCTGGGACCCACTGACATGAGTCGAGGAGCAGTGACAATCTGATCTGAGTTTCAGAAGAGTCAAACTGGAGGCAGTAAAGCTGGATTGGAGAGGCAGAAACCAGGAAAAAGCCCAGTCAAGAGGCTGCTGTGAAGACCCTAGAGAATGCGGGCGTGGACAGCCTGCCACTGTGGGGAAGAGGAGGAGCCAGAGAAGAAATGCTTCAGGGTGGAGACACAGGGCTGCAGGTAGCAGGGAGTGATGCCTGCCTGGGGCCAAAAGCCTGGGGTCTTCAATGTGTCAGAGTCCAAGCTGCCAACATACCAGCTCTTCTGCCACATTTTCTGAATCTTCCTGATTCTCAGATTTACCAGTGCCAGAATCTGAGCAACACCCTGGCTCCCAGCTCTGTTACATTCTCTCCAGATCATACATCCTGCTCCCAAGAGTTTCCAACCCAGCTGTCAAATGCTGGGCCAGGGAGTCTCCCTATCCAACCCCTGCATCTCCACCGGCTCCAGGACCAGAAGCCCCAAAACGGAAATGGGATATACTTCCCACTTGATTCTGTCTACAGACCCCCTTCTAAATACAAAAAACATAATTTACCAGAGGTTAGCACCCCCTTCCATGTTCACCTGCCCAAGCTGGTGCCAGGAATTGTGGGATCCATCTGGTTTTCCTTTGCCCCCAAGTTTGGGCCCCATGGAGTGATGGCAATCTCAGGGTCCTCTCAGAAGCCTTACAGGGACATGTTCCTGTGTCCAGAGAAATCTGGACATAAGGCAATCCTAATGTCCTTGGTAAACTCTAGAAGGAATGCATTTTGGGTAAAGCCAGGACCGACCACTTGGGCAGAGGAGCTCCAGGTGTTTTTTCTATAACTCTCATTGCTAATATCTGAGACAGGAGCAACACTGTGCCTTGTGTGTGCTGCACAGTGTTTATGTTTATAAGAGAGTTTCCCAGTGTCTAATGGCATTGAATCCCACGGCACCATGGGAGGTAGGGAAGTCAGGCACTCCTAGAAGGCCACATGGAGCAGAGCGTGAGACCATAGGTTCTGTAGCAGAATGCCTGGCGTGGAACGCTGCTCGGCCTCTCGCTGGCTGTCTCCTTTTGAACAAGTACTCTATTTCCTTGTGCCTCATTTTCTCCAGCTGAAAAACAGAACTAATATATAAGTCCTCACTTATCCATGGTTTCACTCTCCACAGTCTTAGTTACATGCAGCCGATCATGATTCAAAAATATTAAGTGGAAAATCCCAGAAGCAAACACTTCATAGGTTTTAAATTGTGCACTGTTAAGAGCAGCCTGATGAAATCTCATGCCGTCCGCTCCATCCCACCTGAGATATGAATCATCCCTCTGCCCAGCGTGCCCACATTGTCTATGCCACCCGCCTATCAGTCACTCAGTAGCCATCTCAGTCATCTGATGGAAGCCTGTGGCATCTCAGTGCTTGCATTCAAGTAATCCTTACTTTCCTGAACAACGGCCCCAAATTCCGAGCGTGGTGATGCTGGCATATTGTTATAATTGCTCCATTTTGTTACTAGTTGTTATTGTTAATCTCTTACTGTGCCTCATTTAAAAATTAAACTATCACAGGTATGTATCTATGCATAGGCAAAAACAGTAGACACCGGGTTTAGTACTATCTGTGGATTCAGACATTCACTGCGGGTCTTGGAACTGTATCCCTCGTGGATAAGCAGTGACTAGTAGACTAATGCCTAGCGCACAGTGGGCACTTTATAGGCATTTTTAGAGAAAGATCTGCAATTTAGAATGACTTAAACAGAGTGCTCCAGGCTGAGGAACTTGCCCGAAGTTGCCGGGCTGGAATGTGAGATGGAGAACTAGAATTCTTTGGCTCCCAGACCATACTCTTCATGCCACGTCAAGCCACTCTGGGAAGCACCTATTCTCTGGCTAGTCCTGCTTCTTGACTGGGAAAGGCCCTTTCCATGGCAAACAACATATATTGTCACCTTACAGCAATAACCATTAAAGTAGAAGGGTTTTTTTTTTTTTTTGGAGAATTTTTTATTGAGGTAAAATTCATATAACACAAAATTCATTATTTTAAACATTCCAAAGTGTACACTTCAATATGCAATCCACAATATTGTGCAGCTACTACCACTATCTAATTTGAGATTATTTTTCCTACCCCAAAGAGAAACCCCATACTTCTCAATTCCCCTTTTTGCCCAGCCTCTGGCAACCACCAATCTATTTCCTCTCTACGGATTACCCTATGCTGAACATTTCATAGGTATGGAATCATCCAATATATGGTCCTTTGCTTCTTTCTTTCACCTAACATAATGTTTTCAAGGTTCGCCCATATTATAGCAGGTATCAATATTTCACGCCTTTTTCTGGCTGAACAGTTTTCATTGTAGGATATACTACATTCTATTTATCCATTTACCATTTGATGCACATTTCGTTAGCTCTACCTTTTGGCTGTTGTGAATAATGCTGCTCTGAACACTGGGGTACAAGTTTCTGTGTGACCTTACGTATATATCTAAGAGTGGAATCACTGGATCATAGCATGACTGTAGGCCTAATCTTTTGAGGAACTGCTGAACTGCTTTCCACGGTGGCTGTGACATTTTACGTTCCCAACACCAATGTGTAAGGGTTTCAGTTTCTCCACAATCCTCGCCAACACTTGTAATTTTCCTTTTAATTAAAAAATATATATATTATTATAGTCATCCTAGTGGATGTGAAGTGGTGTCTCTTGGGGTTTTGATTTGCATTTCCCTAATGACTGATGATGTTGAGTCTGTTTTCATGAACAGTATATCTTTAGGTTCTTGATATTATGGAAATTGAAATAAAAGATACAAAATCTTCAGCATTTGTTTCTCAAAATGAAGGAGTAAGCTTGGTGCAGACACACCAAGCTGATGTACCTAGAGACTGCAGCAGGGAAACTGAATTTCCAACAGACAGGGTCCTTTGGTTAGCTCCTATGTGCAGCAAGCAAATGGTGGCCCCAAGGTTAGGGTGGGATTTGGGAAGGCTGCACTGGCTCACAAAAGCTTCCACATCTACCTGGGGCCCACCCTGGTTCTGCTTCTCTGGTTATTAGGTCATATCTGTCTTTAGAATGGCAGTCCAGCTTTGTCCACAGGCTCGAAGGTGGCATTAGCAAGATGGTCTGAGATGCTCAGCTTATAGATCGATTGCGGGCCTGAGAAAACCCTGGGAATTAAGGATAAATGCCACATGACAGATCCATTTAGGAAGCTAAGCGAGCAGATGGCTCCAAATGCCAGCCAATAGCAGGTCTGGGCACTCAAGGAAGCAAAACCCTCCTGTGGTACAGGGGCAGCAAAGCGGCTGAAGGCTGGCTGATGTGTGAGCCCTGTGAGCCTTTGACTCACTCTGCTAAGAGCAGAGGCAGAGTACAGCTAGGCAAGCACCTTTTGGAAAACAGGCCACTGGTTACCTAGGCATGGGTGTTCCAAGACCCAGGTTCCCTCTTCTTTTCAATGCTGCCTTCTGGCCATTTCATTTTTCAGGGCCTTTTCAAGAGACAGGAGAAAAGAAAACACCATTGCATGCTTCCACAATTCTGTAGAAAGGTATGGGCCAGGGATGGCTGCAGCCAATGGATTCCTGCTCTATTACTGTGTAATAAATCTACCCCAAAACTCTGTGATTTAAAACCACAATTTGTTATTATCTCTCACAGTTCAATGGATTGACTAAACTCAGCTGTGCAGTTTTCCCTTACGATCGGACGTCAGTTGAAGCTACAGTAGTATCTGTCTGTACATCTACTGAGCTGGATGTCTAAGATGGCCCATTCACATGGCTGGCATCTGATGCTTGCTGTCACCTAGGGATGCTGACTGGAGGGCCTCCACCCCAAATGTCCTGCACTTCTTATAGCCTGGTAGCTGGATCCAAGAATAAGCATCCCGACAGTGAGTTTTCAAGAAAACACAGGCAGAAGTTGCAAGGGCCCTGTGACCCAGCCTCCTGTGTCACTTCTGCCATATTCCATTGGTCAAGACTGAGTCACAAGGAACACTCTCCAACACTATGAAGCTAGTATTACCTTACCAGATGAAGACTTTTTAAGAAAACTAAAGATCAAATCCCTTCTGAATAAAGACATAAAAATCCCCAACAAGATATTAGCAAACCAAATTCAGCAATACATAAAAGGGATTATATACCAGAAACAGGTGGAATTTATCCCAGCAACACAAGAGTGGTTCGACATATGAAACTCAATTCATATAATATATCATATTAACATAATAAAAGGCAAAACCATATTATCATCTCAATGGACATAGAAAATGCCGCATTTGACAAAATCCAATCCCCTTCTTAATAAAAACACTCAACCAACAGGAATAGAAGGAAACTTCCTCAACTTGATAAAGAGTATTTATGAAAAGCCCATATCATACTTAATAGTGAAAGATTTAATGCTATTCCCCAAGATCAGGAATAAGACAAATATATCTACTCTCACCACTAGCACTCAATATTATATTGAAGGTTCTAGCCAGAGCAATTAGGCAAGAAAAAGAAATAAAATGCATTCAGATCTATCTGAGATGACATGACCTTAGAAAGCCCTAAGGAGAATGGGCACAGTGGCTCACGCCTGTAATCCCAGCACTTTGGGAGGCAGAGGCAGGTGGATCATGAGGTCAAGAGATTGAGACCATCTTGGTCAACATGGTGAAACCCCGTCTCTACTAAAAATACAAAAAATTAGCTGGGCATGGTGGTGCATGCCTGTAGTCCCAGCTGCTCGGGAGGCTGAGGCAGGAGAATTGCCTGAGCCCAGGAGGCGGAGGTTGCGGTGACCTGAGATCGTGCCATTGCACTCCAGCCTGGGTAACAAGAGCGAAACTCCCTCTCAAAAAAAAGAAAAAAAAAAAAGGAAGCCCTAAGGAATAAATACACACAAAGAAAACTATGAGAGCTAACAAACAAGTTTAACAAGGTTGCAGAATAAAAGAACATATATAAGAATCAGTTGTGGGCTGGGTGCGGTAACTCATGCCTGTAATCCCAGCACTTTGGGAGGCTGAGGTGGGTGGATCACCTGAGGTCAGGAGTTCGAGAACTGCCTGGCCAACATGGTGAAACCCTGTCTCTACTAAAAATACAAAAATTAGCTAGGCATGGTGGCAGGTGCCTGTAATGCAATCCCAGCTACTCAAGAGACTGAGGCAGGAGAATCCCTTGAACCTGGGAGGCAGAGGTTGCAGTGAGCCAAGATTGTACCACTGCACTCCAGCATGGGAGACAGAGCAAAACTCTGTCTCAAAAAAAAAGAATCAGTTGTATTTCTACATACTACCAATGGGCAATCATCAAGTAAAATTGGGAAAACAATTTCACTTACAATAATATAAAAAAATAAAATACTTATTAATAAGTTTAACCAGAGAGATGCAAGACTCATACACGGAAACTAGAAATACAGTTGACAGAAATTAAGGTCTAAGTAAATGCAAAGCTATCCCATGTTCATGCACTGGAAGACCTAATGTTGCTAAGGTGGCTTGCATTCTTTAAACTTATCTACAGATTCAGTGTAATATTTGTAAGAACCCTGTCTTTTTTTGTATTTCTAGAAGAAATTGGCAAAGTGATCTTAAAATCCATATGGAAATTCAAGAAATTCCTATTGTTTCAAGCCAAAACAATCTTGATAAAGAACAAAGTTGGAGGAATCATACTTTCCAGTTTCAACACTTTCTAGGAAGCCACAGTATCCAAGATAGAGTGTTACTGGCATTAGATTATATAGATCAATGGAACAGAATTGAGAGTCTAGAAATAAACTCATATTTATGGTCAGTTGATCATCAAGAGTTCCAATACAATTCAGTGAAGGAAAGAATAGTCTCCTTCAAAAAATGATACTGAGACAATGGAATAGACACATGAAAAATAATAAATTTGGACCCCTACTTCACCCATGTACAAAAGCATACCTCAAAACAGATCATAGATCTAATGTAATAGCTAAAACTATACAACTCCTAGAAGAAAACGTGGGAGCAAATCTTGTGACCTGAAATTAGACAGTGATTTCTTAGATATGACAACAAAAGCATAAGCAACAAAAGAAATATTTGATAAATTCAACATCATCAGAACTAAAACCTTTTGTGCTTCAAAGGACATCATCAAGAAACCAAAAGCACCCCACAGAAGGGAAACAATATTTGCAAATTATGTATCTGATAAGAAACATATAGTTTCTTATATATATCCAGAATAAATAAAGAGCTCTTAAAACTCAACCGAAAGAGAAATAATTTAATAGCTATTAGGGACGCTGAGGTGGGAGGATGGCTTTAGCCTAGGAGGTTGAGGCCAGCCTTGGCAACAGAGCAAGACCCTGTCTCTAAAAGAAATACAATTTTTAAAAATGGCCAATAGGTGCCAACAAACCCATTAAAAGATGCTCAACATCATGTAGTCATCAGGAAAATTCAAGTCAAAACCACAAAGAAATACCACTTACCACCCACAAAGATGGCCATGATGAAAAAGACTGACAATAGCAAATGTTGGCAAAGATATGGAGAAATTAGAACCCTCATACATTGCTGGTAGGAATTTAAAATGGTACAGCTGCTTTAGAAAATAGTTTCACAGTTCTTCAAAAAGTTAAGCATGGAGTTACCATATGATTCAGCAATTTCACTCCTAGGTATATACTCAAGAGAAAACATATGTCCACAGAAACTTATACACATGCTCACAGCAGCACAATTCAAAATAGCCAGAAGGTAGAAGTCACACAAATGTCCATCAACTGATGAATGAATAGAGAGAATGTAGTATATTCTACAGTGGTATATACTGTCCAGCCACGAAAAAGGAATGAAGTACTGATACCTGCTACCACATGGATGAACCCTGAAAACATTACGCTAAGTGAAAGAAGCCACACATAAAAGGCCACATATTATATAACTCTATGTATATGAAATATTCACAACGGGAAAATCCATAGAGACAGAAAGTTGATTCACAGTTGCCAGGGCTGAGGGGAGAAGGGAATGGTAAGCAACTGCTAATGGGTACAAAGTTTCATTTGGGGCTAACCAATGTATTCTGGAATGAGATGGTGGTGTTGGGTGCACAGCTTGTGAATATATTAATACCAACAACTTTAAAGGAGTGAATTTCATGGCATATGAATTATATCTCAACAGCAATTATTAAAACACACACATAAAGTCTGTCACAGAGAAGAGACTACATGGGAGGTGCGTGCCCTGCGAGGGCTCCTCTGAAGACCAGTTACCATGTGCGCTCCAACTCGCTCCTTTGTCATAATAGGTAAGATCACCGGCAGTTGGCCACTAGATTAAGGACTGGATGGATCTAGTTTTACCTTCTCATCCTGAAATTTGAGACAGAAATCATGTCCTGGTATCTTTTGGGCTCCTTTATCAGTAGCAGAACACTCAGACAGGCTCTCTAGCACCAAAGAGAAAGCATGCAGTTGGAAGACTAGAGAACACGGCCAGCTGAGAAACAATGTACAGCAGAAGGGCTGGTAAATCCAGGATAGGGTGACTCTTCTAGAGCCAACCAACAGGTCCAGAGGTGGAAGGTGCTGAGGAAGACCTGACTTGTAAGATTATTGTTTACCCCAAGAAAAAGAGCTCGGCAAAGTAGAAAGCACATGGGTGGTAGAGATGGACAGTTCCACGTTCAAATCCTGGCTCTGCCACTTATTAGCTGTGTGATCTTAAAAGTGCTATTTAATTTTTCTCTGCCCCAGTTTACTCAGCTCTTTGCAGGGTGATAAGATTGAAAGGCTAATATATGCAAAGTGCCCAGCATAAAATAGTTGTTCAGTAAATGGTAGTTTTTATTATTAGTACTGTCTTGTCAGCATAATTATTAATGCCAACGGCCCCTGCCAGCATTCAGTAACACCTGCCATGTGGTCTGAGAATTATCTGGACATTTCTGTTTTCCTAGCTACTTTGGTCCTATAGGCAAGACTGGATAGAAAATGTTTGGTCATTAAGGGTAAGTTACCCTTAATCTATAGAGGGCGCTTAGAAAACAATGAGAAACAGATTAATAGACCAGCAGAAAATTAAGCAAAAACCATGAAAAAGCAACTCATATAAGAACACACACAAGGCTAACAAATACATGAGAATTGTTCAAACTTATTAATAATCCTAAGAATGAAAACTAGAACAAGATAACATTTGAACTTATTAAATCATCAAATAGCTGACAATCTTTGGTGAGATATTGGCCAGAGCTGAGAAACAGCCACTCTCATACACTCCTGAGGGAGTATTAATTGGAACAATATTTCTAGAGGGCAATTTAGCAATAAGTATCAAAAGCCTCAAAAATAGCACTCTCAGACTCAGCATTCTACTTCTAAGAATTTATGCTTTAGAAATAATCATGAATGTGTGCAAAAATTTAGCTATAAGGATATTCATTTGATTGCAATATTATTTTTAATAACAAAAACCTGAAAATAACCAATATACCCAATGAGAGAGAATTGGTTAAATAAATTATGAAACATGGGCTGGGTGCAGTGTCTCACACCTGTAATCCCAGCAATTTGGGAGGCCGAGGCAGGCAGATCACGAGGTCAGGAGATGAGACCATCCCAGCCAACATAGTGAAACCCTGTCTCTACTAAAATACAAAACATTAGCCAGGTGTGGTGGTGCACCCCTGTAGTCCCAGCTACTAGGGAGGCTGAAGTGGGAAAATTGCTTGAACCCAAGAGGCAGAGAGAGCAGTGAGCTGAGATCACACCACTGTACTACAGCCCAGGCAACAGTGCAAGACTCTGTCTCGAAAATAAATAAAATAAAATAAATGATGAAACATATTTACAATGGAATACATAATAACTAGGAAAGGTAGTCACTATAATCAACACAATACACAATTATCCCATTTTTATAAGTTACAGGAAATAAACAAAAGGTCAGCACTGGTTAATTCTCGGTGACAGGCGTATAGACTAGCTTTTTTCTTCTTTTGTTGATGTGCAACTCCTACAGTGATCACATATCACTGTTTCAGGAAGAAAAAGGATCATTAAATAAATCTGCTCATGGAGGCTCAGACCCTCCATGAATGCAGCTCAGTGCACACAGCCTAGAGCACCCTGCTCTTTGGCCCAGTGCCTATTCTTTCAGCCTCCAGTCCCCTCTCCTCCCAGCCTGGAGTATGTTCTCAGGGCCGGGTCACTGCTTTCTGCTCCTCTCTGAGCCCCTCCTTGCACTGCATGACTCCAGACCCAGGTCCACCACTAGCTATCACCCCAGTGGATCACGTGGTCTCCTCACCTCCATTCCCCCACCTGCAAGTCCCATGACCTAAGGCTTACCTTCCGCTCTAATCTCCAGGACACGGCACTCTAAAAATGAAACTGTTCCACTGAATTTGGTTGGCACCATTATTACCACCCTATTATTAGTTTCCCTTCTAGTCCATCAGAGGGGACAGGCCATCACCACTGACCTGAGAGGAGATGGACAATCTCAACAGAGCTTGGAGGTGTGATTTCACTTCTCTGCCAAGGTGGCAGAAGGCTGGTCACCACACCAGGGCACACTCCTTGACAATCCACAATTGCCCAGAGGCCATCCCTACATAAAGATATATGAATGGGGAGGGCTCTGGCAAGAAGTTAGTATGACCAGGTCCCTTCTGACAGACCTGAGATGTGCCAGGAATTCTTAAGGGCAAGAGGGTCAAGCCTGGTCTTCTCCCTGAATTTCCACCCAAACACCAAAACGCCAGGGCCGGGAGATGTGCTGCTCGTGGGTCATGCAGGCTGTACGGAAAGACACCAAGTCACAGGAAGCTGCCTCTCTCACAGGGTGGTGCCGTTCTGTGGTTCTGTGGTTTCCCACCGTTTTGGAGGTGTAGCCATTGTTTACTTGGTTTCACCACACCTCCTCTCCTCCAGAAAGTGCTGTATGTAGATTTTCCTTCTAAGTGATGTGAACACAAATGATTCACCAGGGGCCTTGAGGTCACTGGGGCTCCCTGAGGATGTTCAGGCCCCTGGATGACAATGGATGCTCTGAAGTCTGGGCCATTTCCTTCCCTCCTGCTTCCCATCTGAACTTAAAGGGAGCTCAAGCCCCAGCTGTTCTCAGCTCTTTAACAGAGTTGCCCTAATGGGCTGGCATGTTATACAGACCTGTACCTTCTGGGGCTACCGTAAGAGCTTTCTGTGTTTCTTCAAATTTCGTGCTTTATCTTAAAAATGAATGCAGATTTTGCTTGATACTCTATTTTTGCCCTCCTGTATTTTATTCATGCTAAGCTGCACTCACCCCACTTCCATTGTAACTAACATCTTTAAAATCAAGATTTCTTAGAATCCACAGTGGTTGCAGTTTAATTGGCAGTGCTTTTTTCCAGTGTTACATAAAATAACAATGAATTTTCTGATAAATGGCATCTTAGAGTTGATAAAATATAATGATAAAAAAATACTACTTTCCTGTAGAAGCAGAGTTGAACTGACATTCTGAAAGATGTGCCAGGTTTGCACACTCCTGGCTCCCTGCCTAGGGCTTGGGCTTAAGGCCCATTTCTAGATGGCATTTCCTCATGCCTGTCATGCCCCATGGTATCGGGAATACAGCCTTCACCAACACACTGTTCCCACAGGACAGGACCATGAGGAAGCTCATCCCAAAGGACACCCCCCAGTCCTCTGTTCTGGAGGCTACTCAATAGCATCCAAAGGAAATGTTCACTGAGCATTCCCCATGGACCATGCATTGAGCTAGATGCTGTGTGTTCATTTCCTTCAACTTTGCTAACAAGATCGAGACCATCTTGGTCAACAAGGTGAAACCCTGTCTCTACTAAAAATACAAAAATTAGCTGGGCATGGTGGTACGTGCCTGTAGTCCCAGCTACTCGGGAGGCTGAGGCGGGAGAATTGCTTGAACCCAGAAGGCAGAGGTTGTGGTGAGTTGAGATCGTGCCATTGCACTCCAGCCTGGGTAATAACAGCGAAACTCCGTCTCAAAAAAAAAAAAAAAGTCAATATCAAAAGGGGCAGAAAGCCATCTCTGCCCCCAGGATACATCATTCAGTTCTTATTCCTTCCTGCTACCCCCCTTCCTTATAACCTACCTCTTCACCTAGACACTTCCAAACTCAACCTCCCACAACACCTCCTTCTCCTTGCTCTCAAATTCTGGCCCATTTTTTGTGCATCCCACAGTGATTTACAACCCTGAAATTAATCCAGGGAAACCACTGGATTTCTCAGACCTGCCCTCTCCTCCAGGCAATCATTCCAGCTACCATTTTCTGACCATCTACAGTATGGAAGCTGGTGACTTATCCCTAATCTTAGGTGTGGTCCTCTTGTCCAAATGAGCAAGCAGAGGAACAGAGAGGCAAGCTAGCTAGCCTAATGTCACACAGCAAGCAGGCAGCACGGCCAAGAAATTAGCTAAGGTCTGACTGCAAAGCTGTGCTTTTCCCTCTGCACCACCGAGTTCCTTGACAACTATACAGTGGGCGGTGGGGGGTGGGGTTGAAAGGTGGCTTCTCCAGCTAGCATACATATTACCAGTCTTTCCCTGTATCTTTGTCAGTCTGTCTGTCTCCCAGTAAAAACCTAAACACCAATCATGTCAATAGGGCTAGATTTTCAAGTGGCTCTCCCCAGGCCTCCACCCCAAACAGGGAGGACTCTTTCTCCAAGGAATTTACATGTACCGCAAACCCTAACACCAAAACGCAACTTTTAAAGCAGCAAGTTAATTCCTTGCTTGTTTCCATCCCCTTCCCATGTGGCTCGCTTCCTTGTTATATCTGGGCACAGGTATGTCTCCCTCCCACGCTGTAAATTTCTTTAAACATTCTGTTGTTGTTGAAAGGGCGAGGAAGTCCACAGGAAAGGAAAAGGAAAAAAAACCACAGCACTGTCCCCAAGAGAAGTGTACACACACAAAATACGCCCTCACGCCTCTGCAATTCTTCATGCAATCGGAGCGCTTCACAGGACATAAGTCAGGAATCACGATTCTGTTTCCCTCTTGCACCTTCTATTCTGTGTCTATACACAGTAAGCGCTGAATAATTTTATGAAGGACCAACGCCACTTCTCTCTCCTCCTGCTGCTACCACCATCTTTGGTCAGAAAGAATGTAGCTGTTGACTTCATCACACTTTCTGTGAGATGCTTCCTCAGCTCTCCCTTCTCAGTTCTCTGTGCCACCCTCCCTCTGGGAAGTTCTGCCACCTTCCTGTTCTATGCCATCCATACCCTGTTCTCAGAGGCCTGCTCCTGCCTCTCTCCAGTCCCCCACATAATTTGCTGGCTCTTTATCAACCCTATACTACTGGCAGGGACCTGACAGTCCTCCCCTCATCTCACAGATACAGATCACCAGGTCTTGCTCCGTCATTGCACAAGGTTGTCCTGTTTTCCGACAGACGAGACCCGATCCCAGGAATCTTGACCCAGTTAGTTCAGCCTTCCTAACTGTCCCTACATGGCCTCTGCCCAACGATCTGCTGCCTCTTCCCTAGAAAGCAAGAGCACCAGTGGCCTTGTGCAATCCTGGCCTCTCAGATTTTCAGCCCTGGCAGGACTCCTCCAAACCATGAAGCAAGCATCTTTGTGCAAGCTAGAGGCAGATCACCTCTAGTCAGATGCAGCTCAGGGGGCACACAGCTTGGCAAGCAGAGTGCCAGCTAGATCTGATCCCTCGCCCCGCAATCCTGCATGGAATTTTTTTTTTTTTTTTTTTTTACAAAAAATCCTGCATTTTGTAAAAATAAAAAAATTAGCTTGGGGTGGTGGTGGGCACCTGTAATCCCAATTACTTGGTAGGCTGAGGCAGGAAAATTGCTTGAACCTGGGAGGCGGGGGATGCAGTGAGCTGAGATTGCACTTCAGCCTGGGCAACAGAGTGAAACTCTGTCTAAAAAAAAAAAAATTAAATGTGCTCTATATTGTGGCTTTAACAAAAAGGGTGGGCAGTGGGGAACAACAGCGCCTGGCCATACCTCTCCCTGAAAGATGAAGATTCATAATCCTCTTCCGTACATACATTCCTGGCAGCTCTGATGGAAAGGTGCATCTTGGCTGGGTTATCTCAAAAGGACTCAGGAAGCATCCCAGTCAAATCAGCACTCTCCAGGTCTCTGTTTGACCCGCTCACAGATGGAAACAGGTATACTCACATTCACAGCAGTATTATTCACAATGCCCAAATGCCCACCAATAGATGAGTGGATAAACAAAATGTCAAATAGACATATAATGAGACCTGGTGATCTGCATCTGTGAGATGAGGGGAGGACTGTCAGGTCCCTGCCAGTAGTATAGGGTTGATAATGAGATACGATTCAACCTTTAAGAGGAAGGAAATTCTGGTACATGCTACAACATGGATTAACCTTGGAAACATTATGCTCAGTAAAATAAATCAGTCACCAAAGGACACACACTGCATGAGTCCCCTTATGTGAGGGGAACAGGTGACTAGGATAGGTGACTTCATAGAGACAGAAAGCAGAATAGAGAAAGTAGAACAGGTACCAAGGCTGAGGGGAGGCAGGAATGGGGAATTATGGCTTAATAGGTTTAGAGTTTCAGTTTGGGATGAGAGAAAAATTCTGGAAATGCATAGTGGCGACAGCGGCTCAACACTCTGTCCTTAGTAACGCTGAATTATACACTCTAAAATGGTTAAAATAGTAAAATTTTAAGTTACCTATATTTTTAAAAGTTTAAAAAGTAAATGCAGCCTACATGCAGTGGCTCATGCCTGTAACCCCAGCACTTTGGGAGGCCAAGGTGGGTAGATCACCTGAGGTCAGGAGTTCGAGACCTGCCTGGCCAACATGCTGAAACTCTGTCTCTATGAAAAATACAAAAAATAGCTAGGTGTGGTGATGGGTGCCTATAATCCCAGTTATTTGGGAGGAGGAAGAGGCAGAAGAATCACTTGAACCTGGGAGATGGAGGTTGCAGTGAGCCGAGATTGCACCACTGCACTCCAGCCTAGACAACAGAGCGAGACTCTGTCTCAAAAAAAAAAAAAATTAAATGTGCTCTATAGTGTGGCTTAACAAAACGGGTGAGCAGTGGGGAATAACAGCGCCTGGCTGTACCTTTCTCTGAAAAGTTGAGGATTCACAATACTTCACACAAGTGCTTGATGTACCAACAGCAGCACCTCATTCCTTGGTGGCTGACACCTCCACAGAGGTCTAAAATCTCTGGACACACAGTGATCCGAGCAACCACTGAAAGGTGCCACATAAATTTAAACATCCCCTTCATCCTGGCTGTTCCCTCCACCCACAAAGCCCATCTCGGCAGGCAGGCAGTTTTCTCTGCAAGGCCACGGCAGCCAGGCCCATTCTTGGTAGGCGTAAACTGCCATCCTGCGATAAATCCTTTCCCACAAAGCACTGGAGACTGGTCCTCTTACTGTGCCAAGAAGTCTTTCTCTGACCATCTGTAATCCATTCAAAGGCAACCGGCAGGAAATGGCGGCAAGGAAAACCCCTGCAAAATGCAACTGGTGGGACCACCTCTCCTCCTGCTAGTGGCCAGCAACAGGAAGTCGGCCTTTCTTGGGACACAGAACATCTGTGGGAGTTCTGGAAGCTGCTGGGCGTCTGTCAGGGGCTGAATGGGCTCAAGACAGATGCTCACAAAATTTGGTAAGAAAAGCATGCTGTATTGGGTTTTAAAATTAGCTCTGAAAAAAAAAAAGCATTTGAAAAACCAAAACAAACCCCAGACTCTTAAGAGAGAGAAAAAAAAAACAACCCCAAAACACAAAAACCCCATCATATGAAAACTAACCTCAAAATTGCTTTCTTCTGATTTCTATGGACAATTAGACCACAATTTCAAGTAGTTCAAATCCTTCTTAGTGAGGCTCTCCCTCCAATCCAGTATTGTCAGCTGCTGCTGCTGAATAGTGACAGCTTCATTTTTGGCACTAAAAGCTGAAGTCCTCAATGCTTTGCAGTGGTAAGCTGGGGCTGGCTTGTAAAAGCTCACAAGAGCCGATTGTTAAATTTTCAGGAATGTGATGAGTCAATTATGAAATTATTAAAAGTTATATGACATAAGTTTACAACTGAATATAAAACTCATCACTTCCAATTTATCTTGCTACATTTCACTTATTACCTATGCTTTGAGTATAGGTTGGCAACTTTTTCTTTTTTTTTTCCAAAGAGTCTTGCCCTGTTGCCAGGCTGGAGAGCAATGGCACAATCTCGGCTCACTGCAACCTCTGCCTCTCAGGTTCAAACGATTCTACTGCCTCAGCCTCCTGAGTAGCTGGGATTACAGGCGCCCACCACCATGCACAGCTAATTTTTGTATTTTTAGTAGAGATGGGGTTTCAGCATGGGCCATGCTGGTCACAAACTCCTGACCTCGTGATCCACCCGCCTCAGCCTCCCAAAGTGCTGAGATTACAGGCATGAGCCACCGCACCTGGCCTGAGTTGACAATTTTTTCTATGAAAAACCAGATAGTAAAAATTGTAGGATTTGTCTCAACTACTCCATGGAGCCATTGTAGTGCAAAAGCTAGCAAAGACAATACATAAAAGAACGAGTGTGGCTGGGTTCCAATAAAACTTTATTTATAAAAACAGGCAGCTGGCTATATTTTGCCCATGAGCCACAGGTTGCTTAATTCTGTTCTCAAAGTCATTTATATCTAATATATCTGTAAGGTGGATATCTTACAAAACAGTGTGCTGACGCATATCTCTTCCCAACTCTCAGTTCAGTGATATCACATTGACAGCTTGAAATGCAGTGGTAGAAGAGTTTACACCATGGAAATCATCACATACTACAAAATCAGGGTGTGATTTATTATTTTTTTGATTATCAAGATTTAACAAAGTGATGAAGAAAATTTTAATGATGTAAGTCAAATTAAAAGAACAGTCGACCCTCTAAATCTGTGAGTTCCACATCTGCAGTTCAACTTAACTACAGATCAAAAATACATGGAACAACAACAAAAAGATGCCTGAGTGTGTACTGAACGTGTACAGGCTTTTCCCCCATATCATTATCGCCTAAACAATGCAGAATGACAGCTATTTACACAGGACTTACATTGTATTTGGTATTATAAGTAAACTAGAGATTATTGAGAGGACTGTATAGGTATATGTAAACACTACACCATTTCATATAAGGGATAAGAATCCAGGGATTTGGGGTCTGGGAACCAATCTCCCTTGGATTTCAAGGGACAGCTGTATATCATGTCTATAGCTTTGGGTGACTAGCACAAAACATTGAGGACATATTCTTTTAGTACCTGAAAACCATTATTCAGTTCAGCAAGGAAGTCACGTCACTAACAATCGTGAAGTTCTAACGTACAGCTTTGTTCTTTCACTTTCAACTTATCACTGACTTAAATGAAAGTATCAGCTAACACTTATATGGGGTTTACATTTGTTTGCCAATGAAAATCTTAGGAAGGTCAGGGGATGTAAGAATCTGGCAAAAGTCAACCAAAGCATCTGTTGAGGATCTATTGACTATATGAAATTTACAGTAAAGAATTTAGGCTGGGTGTAGTGGCTGGTGTCTGTAATCTCATCACTTTGGGAGGCTGAGGTGGGTAGATCACTTGAGGTCAGGAGTTCAAGACAAGCCTGGCAAACATGGTGAAACCCCATTTCTACTAAAAACACAAAAATTAACCAGATGTGGTGGCGCAGGCCTATAATCCCAGCTACTCAGGAGGCTGAGCAGGAGAATCGCTGGAACTCGGGAGGCAGAGGCTGTAGTGACAGATCATGCCATTGCATTCCAGCCTGGGCAACAAGAGCAAGAGACAGTCTCAAAAAAAAAAAAAAGAATTTAAATATTTTATTCTTTATAAATTGTATGTCAAACAGCTTTTTCTATCAGTAAAATGTATAATAAACATATATATGCATATGCATTAACTTTTTTAGACAGCAGATTGTTAAACATTTACTAGCACAACACTGATTCTAATAGAAAAGAATTTACAAATTAATGGGTCAGCAAGACCCAAAAAGTATGTCTGTGTGTTTGTGTATGAGAGAGAGAGAGAGGGAGAGAGGGAGAGGAAGAGAAATTCCCTCCAGCACCCTGAATGGAGAAAGCAAAATAAACACTAACATTACCAAAGAAAAAAAGAAGGCTGTTTTCTGAAAACTCTACTCCAAAAAAGACAGCATGGAGTTGGGCACTGAGTGTGTCTGCAACTGGAATAAATTATGAACTGTTTCTCTTTGGTATTAATGGAGTTTCACCATAACTTCTTTTTCCAAAAGCAACTTCTCAAGGAACTCAGAGCCCTCAAAGCCTTTGCTTAAGCGCTTCCTTCCCTGTACAATGCCCTGAATATCCAAATCCAAGCCGCTGTGCTGCCTCTGCACAAGGCATCCATCCATTCATTCTTTCCTTTATTTTTCAAACATTAACTTGACTCCAACTTAAATACCCGTTACTGTACTCCACATCAAACCACAAACCAAACAGCCTCTACCTTTAAGTCAAAGGTCTCAGACCCAGGTTAAAGGTCTTGCTGACCATAGACTGAAATATCTTCCTTCCCTGGGCTCCAAGGCATTCGACTCACATTTCCTTTTCTAGGCAGCATCCGAGTTCCCAGGTGCTGCGAAGTGAGTTCCTAGAGGGCAGGGCCACTGTCCCGCCTTTACATTCCACACAGAGCTCAGCCCAGGGCCATCCACCTCCTGGACAACTGGTCACTTTCTACTCAGTCGGCAATGGGCCACTGTCCCGCCTTTACATTCCACACAGAGCTCAGCCCAGGCCCTTCCACCTCCTGGACAACTGGTCACTTTCTGCTCAGTCGGCAACGGGCAGGAAGCACAGCCCTAGCTTCTGACTTGCAGAGCGTCATGCATCATGATTTGCAATTTAACTTCAGCAGTTCACCAGATCCAGGCAAAATCCTGTGCTCCCTCCAAAAGGCGGGAGAAGGATTATTTTAAGTATAATTATCTTCTTCCTTCCCCAGGTTAAAGCAGAGGGTCACTTGACTGTGTGGGACAATATTTCTCAATATTTCTCATGCTCTACCAGCCAAGATTGGATCACACTTTTACTTCCTGAGGTTTGCACTACAAAGCTAACTCTCTCTTTCTAAGATTTCCCATTGAGTGTGGTTTTCGCACTATACATACATCTTCCTGAAATTGTAGTGTACCCTGTCCTCAACCTTGTCCCTCCTAAGTTAAAGAATCATAGGCCATCATCTTCACCTCCGTGATTAGGGTTCAGTGAAAAAAAAAAAAAGAATCACAGGCTGGTACGGTGTTCATACCTGTAATCCCAGCACTTTGGGAGACTGAGGCAGGAGGATTGCTTAGTTGGAGACCAGCCTGGGCAACATAGCAGGACTCTGTCTCTATGAAAAATAAAAAATTAGGGTGATGTGGTGGTGTGTGCCTGTAGTCCCAGTTACTCGGGAGGCTGAGGTGGGAGCATCACTTGAATCCAGGAGGTTGAGGCTGTAGTGAGTTATAATCATGCTACTGCACTTCAGCCTATGCAACAGAATGAAACCCTGTGTCTAAAAAAATAAAAAGAAAAAGAAAAGAATCATGAATGTTCAATTCCTTACTTTGGGCACTGATAATTAAAGAGAAAAACTTAACTCTACCCTTTTGGAGGAATTTAATAGTTCATCCCCCGTTGATGAGGAAGATGTCTTCGATATTGACGAATGTCACCCAATAAAAGCAGGTCAGAATGACACCAACTGAAAATGACCATCCTACAAAGCCCAAAGAAATAACTGATCCAGGCAAGGGTGATCAATGGATGCCTAGAGGAGTCCACAAAATTTCCTGTTGGGGAACAGGATATTCACTTGGTGCCAAAGCATTACTCACAGAATGACATGCTAATTGCAGAAGAAAAATACAACTTTTGCAATGAACAGAAGCAGTCACCACCTTACCAAGTGATCCATATCTAATAATAGGACACCCTGACATCTTGTAACCCCTGGACGAGATGCTTAAAGCACTCAGAATCACCTGGGACACATTCTTGCCAAAATGTTGAGTCTGAATCAAATGATACTTAAGCTCGAACTTCCAGAATGGGGGAAAACAAGGAATAGCAAAAACAATGTAGGACACCACAAGGAAGTGATCAGACAGACCAGAACATAAAGCATCTTAAATGGCAATGTTTTCTATATTTATATGTAAAAATATGTATAGATATGTACATGGAAATATGCATGTATACATATATTCACACACACACTGGGTGGGGCACTGTTCTAGGTTAAAAACGACTGAAGTGATGTAACAACCAAATGCAATACATGAACCATAACAGGATCTAGTTTGAAAAATGCAGTTATAAGCTTTTGAGGGCAGGGACATGACAGGTGAGTTTTGAATGAGAACTAGGCATTAGATACGAGTATGGAATTACTGTGAGTTTTCTAAGTGTGATACTGGTATTATCATTAGGTCAGAGAATGCCTCTAATTTTAGGAGACGAGATGCATGCTGAAGTCTTTAGAGGTGTCATGCTGTCTGTGACTCACCAAATAGTACTGCAAAAACATACACACATATTTACGTATGATGAGGCTCTGAGAAGGTAAGCGAACAGCTCAAGGTGGCACAATCAAGATGTGAAAAAATGATACATATTTAAAAGGGAAGTGTCGTGATGTTTACAACTTATTTTCAAACGCTACAGAAATATAAATATATATATACACACATGCATATACATAGTCACATAAACGACACTTTGGTCAACAACGGGCCACATATACAGTGGTCCCATAAGAGTATATAATGTCATATTTTTACCGTATCTTTTCTATGTTTCAGTCTGTTTAGAGACACGAGAGCTTACCACTGTATTACAATAATTACCTACAGTATTCAGTACAGCAACATGCTGTGCAGGCGTGTAGCCCAGGAGCAATAGGTTATACCAGTAGGAATATCAGAGTGAATTTACACAAATCTGGATGGCACAGCCTATTGCACACCGAGGAATTCACCGAATGACACATCTCTCAGAACATATCCCCATCATTAAGGAATGCATGACTGTATATTCCTCATAAGACACATATAAAGATATATCTTTTTTTTTTTTTGAGACAGAGTTTCGCTCTTGTTACCCAGGCTGGAGTGCAATGGCATGATCTCGGCTCACTGCAACCTCCACCTCCTGGGTTCAGGCAATTCTCCTACCTCAGCCTCCTGAGAAGCTGGAATTACAGTCACTCGCCACCATGCCCAGCCAATTTTTTTGTGTTTTTAGTAGAGACAGGGTTTCACCATGTTGACCAGGATGGTCTCGATCTGTTGACCTCGTGATCCACCTGCCTCGCCTCCCAAAGTGCTGGGATTACAGGCATGAGCCACCGCGCCCGGCCCAGATATATCTTTATATATAAATATATACATATCTTTATAAGAAAACAAGTAAGACAAAATGGGAATTAACAATTAATTCTACAGGTGATCATGGTACCATTATTTCGACCTTCTTATACGTGTGAAAAATTTTAACACTGACCTGCAAGGGCAAAGAAGAAAGAATGCTGGCCGGGCGCGGTGGCTCAAGCCTGTAATCCCAGCACGTTGGGAGGCCGAGGCGGGTGGATCACAAGGTCAAGATATTGAGACCATCCTGGTCAACATGGTGAAACCCCGTCTCTACTAAATATGCAAAAAAAAAAAATTAGCTGGGCATGGTGGGGCGTGCCTGCAATCCCAGCTACTCAGGAGGCTGAGGCAGGAGAATTGCCTGAACCCAGGAGGCGGAGGTTGCGGTGAGCCGAGGTTGCGCCATTGCACTCCAGCCTGGGTAACAAGAGCGAAACTCCGTCTCAAAAAAAAAAAAAAAAAGAAGAAAGAATGCTGCAGGGTGGGGGTTACTACCGAATACGAAATGAAAAACTTTAGGTGCTCAAAGATGTCTGTGACTCTGTGCCCCAGTGGTAGCATTTTTCCATGGTATTCTCTGTGCTGACCTAGGATGCTGGAGCTAATGCGCTAAGGTGAGCTGGGTTTTGCATTGTAGCACCAGCTATCCTCTTGGACAGAAACTTCAGGAGTCCTGCCAGTTCTCAGAATCTCAACAACGTCAAAATGTCAGATGGTGAATCAAAAACCTCACCGGCCATCTCCAGACTGCGTTTTAAAAAGGAAAATACAAACAGGAACTGTTGTTTTGTGGCTATGACGTTTCAATTTTGTAAGATGAAAAGAGTCATGAAGATTGGCTACATGACCACGTGAGTGTCCTTAACATAACTGAACTTTACACTTAAAAATGGTTATTATGGTAAATTTTATGTTATTTCTATTTTACCGTGGTTTTCTTAAAAAAAAGAAAAAGAAAGAAAAAGACAATACAGGTATTTAAAGACAGGTGCCTGAAAAACAAGATGCTTAGTCGAACTATAATACTTTGCTGGTTCAACGATGACTTAGGAAAGAAAAGGTGGTAATATGATTGCCCTTCCTCCACCCTGCTTCCAGAAGATTCGAATGCAGCTATGATGACAAGACACATGTAGACCATGGGAAGAGTCTGCAGCAGTGCAAGGCGGTGTGAGGTTTCGGGGTAAAGTACATGCTGGCATGGCCAGCATGCACAGGTGCAGAGGACGTCCAGGCGGGGTGGCCCAAGTGACGGTGGGGAGGCTTCCTGAGAAAGTATGGCTGGCCCTGGGGATGGGGGGCTGGGGGTTGGGGAAAGGGAAGATGTCGATGCAGAGAGCAGGTAGAGGCAGAGAGTGGGACAAGGAAAAGACTCGACTTGTCCAAAGTGCTGCTGCAAAGGGCAGGCTACCTGTCCGGATGGGAAGGGACTGAGGACTTTAAACGTTGCTTTAACTGAGGTCGATGAGGAAATGCTGAGAGGTTTACACTTGAGGAACAAACTGACAAATGTGAATTTTCAGAAGATTAATTTTTGAAGTGGTGTGCAGGGAAGATGGAGACAGGAAGACCAATTAAACAGCTATTATAAAAATCTAGGTAGGCTATGAGGCAGGTGAGCTGGGGTGGGGGTGGGGGAGCGGAGAGAGATGGAGAGGTACAGGGAATTGCTGAGATGGGAGGGAGGGAGGATGGAGAGTAGGAGGGGGTCTTTCTAAAGACAGTGATGGGGAAAACACACAGGCTTGGCTTGCATTTGGGCCTAGGGGCGTCTGAGATGTACAAGGATATCCATGAGGGGCTGTCTAGCATGGCACCTGGGGGTGAGATGAGCACTGGGTGGAGGAGAGGTCAGGCAAGCAGAGGGCATGTTAGAATCACCACACACCGGGACCACCTGGGTATGATCAGGAGCCAGGGTCCAGAGCAATCGCAGAGCACACTGAGGGCAAAGCCTGGTCTCAGAGGGAGGAGCTGGCAGAAAGGGCACAAAAGCAGGTGCCATGAAAACTTCTGTGAAGCAAATATGATTTTCAAAAACCTCTGGGGTTGTCTACTATTTAAAGAAATCCCCAATAACTCCATTTGGAAAGCAAATAAGCCCCCGCTCTGTTTTAACCTGGATTGTGTACCGGGTTTGTGTTCTGCCATTAAGTCTTTTGTCTCAGTCACTGAAAGTGGCAGGACTCATATGAGTCCCTAATTCTCTCTGGGTCCTGCCCTGCTTCTGCAAAAGATGATGGGGAGGGACACAGAGACTGAGGGAGTAACTCAAGGGAACAGAGGCCTGGATTCTGGGGACTCAGCTAACAGGGCTGTTGTACATGGGTCGGCCAAAGAGAGTCAACCTTAACCAAATGTGACCAGTGTTGGTGGGTTTGGTGGCTGACTCTGTAATCCCAGCACTGTGGGAGGCCGAATGGGAGAACTGCTTGAGCCCAGGAATTCAAGACCAGCCTAGGCAATGTACAGAGATCTCCACCTCTACAAATAGTAGAAACAATTACCCAGAAATGGTGGCATGCACCTGTGGTCCAGCTACTAGGGAGGGAGGCTGAGGTGGGAGGATCACTTCAGCCTGGGAGGTCAAGGCTGCAGTGAACTATGATTGCACCACTGAACTCCAGCCTGGGCGATAGAGCCCTCCTCACCCAAAAAAGTGACCAGCTCCTCTTTTCCAATGGATCACCCTCTTCCTGCAAGACTGAGTGGGATTCTGTCCCATCAAGTGTAAAAGGTGCTTGAACCCACAAGCGCCTGGTCGTTATCAGAAGAATCAAACCATCAGCTGGTAGACCGGGTCTGGGGACCATCGAAGGTGACTTGAAACCCCACACAGAGGAGGTGACTAAGTAGGAGGGAGGACAGCACTGAGAAGGAAAGGACTGTCAAGGACTCCCTTGGTCTCTAAAACCACTGAGGGGGAGACGGGGGTGGGGGTGACACCACCTCCTCTGGCATAAGCAGGGCAATTACTACAAAATGCTTAGGTGCCCCAGTTAACAGAGAATGGGTGAAATCCAAAGTCATGGGAAGTGTATGTTGCCACATCGTCCTGTCCTCATGTGGGAGATGCATTCTGTGCCTTTCCCAGCTACTTCAATCCAAAGAATCCTCTTTGTCACTGCCCTCTCAAAGCTAGTGACAACTAGGGTATCGCTGTTGCTGAAGAAGGCAAAGGACTTTCACACCCACTTAGCAAGCATATCACCATCAAAAGGACACCTCTAGTGTGGCGGTATTGAAAAGCTATCTCCGCTCCCTCATCCTAGGTATCATCCTAGGGAACGCACCCTTCATGAAATCACTAACAATCCCAATGCCACTAGGGAAACTGAACAGCAACCCCAATGCCACGAGGGAAACTGAACAGCAGCCTAGAAGATGTTCAAAAGGAAGAAAAAAGAGAAATCATCACTGTAGATAGATGCCCCTGGAGTTGCTTGGCAACCATCTTTGCTAACACCTTCTCCCAAAAAGGCACAGAGTTTGCATTAGCTCCTGTGATTTCCCTGAGGCCAGGACTCTGACCACAGAGGCCTCAAAGCTGGGGCCTTGGGGTGAGAGAGTGTTTCCTGATGGGGAGACCCAGGGCCCTATCAGCAGGCCACTGGCTTACACAGGCAAGGAGGAAGGAAAGGTAGTCCTTGCCATTTAGCTTAAAGAACATGCTCTCTTGGGCAAGGATGGTGAGAAGATAAGTCAAGCCAGGTGCCCAGGTGCAACGCTCACGGAGCACTCGCTCTGCACTTGCAGAAGCCCACGTGAGCCCCTCCCTAAACATGTGTCCTGGGCGCTTGCTTGCTTCCCCTTAGTCCTAACCCTGCTCCTAGGATGACAGACATCAGGACACAGTGCTTAGAGTTCAGCCTTCGGAATCAGCCTGCCTTGGGGTTAAAGGCAGCCCTACTATTTCCCAGCTATGTCGCCTTGGGTAAATCACTTAACCTCTCTGAGGCTCAGCTTCCCAATTTCGGAAATAGGGCTGATAACAGGATTTGCCTCATAGGGTGGTCATGAGGATTACATGCAAACATGCACATTTAGCCCTGTGCCTGGCACCTACTTAATGCCCAATAAAAGACAACTAGGATTGTAACTTAAAAAAAACCCCACATACGTTGGGTTGTGTTTAACTCAATAGGTACCAGAAAAATAAATGTAAAAGAAACCCACAAAAACTCCAAAGGCAAACACATAAGCAATCAGAATCTCTGTGGGTGGTCCTGGTATCTTTGCTTTTAAAAAACTTCCCAAGGAATTTTCAAGGTAGGCAGGTTTGAGAGCCACTTCTCTCAACCAATAATGGCAGTTCTCAAAGTTCAGAAAACATCAGAGCCACCTGCAAAGCCTGTTTAAAATGTACGTTCCTGGTCAGGTGCGGTGGCTCACGCCTGTAATCCCAGAACTTTGAGAGGCTGAGGTTGGAGGATCACTTGAGCTCAGGTGTTTGAGACCAGCCTGGGGAACACAGAAAGACCTTTTCTCAATTAAAAGTCAAAAAAATTAGGCAGGCATGGCAGCACATGCCAGTACTACTTGAGAGGCTGAGGTAGAAGGATGGCTTGAGCCCTGGAGAGCAAGGCTGCAGTGAGCTTGGTCATGACACTGCACTCCAGCCTGGGTGAGAGAGAGAAAGAGACGCTCTCTCAATAAAATAAATTTTTTAAAAAAGCACATTCCTGGTTCCTGTGCTTCACTCCCGGTTGTTTTGTTTTGGTATGACTGCAGCCTGGGGCTG